TCCAGTACTAAAATAGAAGAGGTTTGGACAAGACCTGTTTGAAAACATGATGGGAAATGATGGAAACCATGATGGGTGGCTAAAATTCTTTGAACTTCTCATGTTTCTCATCGGTTGGTTTTGTATAGTTTTGTTGTGGGGAGGGTTCAGATGGGTTCAGCAGTGCCAGGGGCCAGTGGTATCAAAACATAGCAAAACCATTCAAAACCATGTCAAACATGGCACCAAAGAATTAAACCAGGGGTGGTCCAGTACTAAAATAGAAGAGGTTTGGACAAGACCTGTTTGAAAACATGATGGAAAATGATGGAAAACCATGATGGGTGGCTAAAATTCTTTGAACTTCTCATGTTTCTCATTCTTTTCCTCTGCTCCCAGCCTAGGTGACACTCCAGCTGCAGGGCAGCCGATTGGCAATGAGAGCAATGGTGTCCCACCTCGTGCCTTGTCATACTGAGTCAGCTGGTTTTGTATGGCTTTGTTTGAGGGTTCAGCAGTGCCAGGGACCAGGGGTATCAAAACATAGCAAAACCATTCAAAACCATGTCAAACATGGCACCAAAGAATTAAACCAGGGGTGGTCCAGTACTAAAATAGAAGAGGTTTGGACCAGACCTGTTTGAAAACATGATGGGAAATGATGGAAACCATGATGGGTGGGTAAGGTTCATCAGCTGGTTTTGAATGGTTTTGTTGTGGGGAGGGTTCAGATGGGTTCAGCAGTGCCAGAGGCCAGGGGTATCAAAACATAGCAAAACCATTCAAAACCATGTCAAACATGGCACCACAGAATTAAACCAGGGGTGGTCCAGTACTAAAATAGAAGAGGTTTGGACAAGACCTGTTTGAAAACATGATGGGGAATGATGGAAGCCATGATGGGTGGCTAAAATTCTTTGAACTTCTCATGTTTCTCATTCTTTTCCCCTGCTCCCAGCCTAGGTGACACTCCAGTTGCAGGGCAACCGATTGGCAATGAGAGCAATGGTGTCCCACCTCGTGCCTTGTCATACTGAGTCAGCTGGTTTTGTAAGGCTTGTTTGTAGAGAGGGTTCAGCAGAGCCAGGGGCCAGGGGTATCAAAACATAGCAAAACCATTCAAAACCATGTCAAACATGGCACCACAGAATTAAACCAGGGGTGGTCCAGTACTAAAATAGAAGAGGTTTGGACAAGACCTGTTTGAAAACATGATGGGGAATGATGGAAGCCATGATGGGTGGCTAAAATTCTTTGAACTTCTCATGTTTCTCATCGGTTGGTTTTGTATAGTTTTGTTGTGGGGAGGGTTCAGATGGGTTCAGCAGTGCCAGGGGTATCAAAACATAGCAAAACCATTCAAAAACATTTCAAAACCGTGTCAAACATGGTACAGTTTTGTGTTGGGGGTATTCTTTTTCCTCCCTGAGACCTCTATGGAGGCCGACATAAACCACCAAATCGCCCAACATGGGCCCAAGTTGGACCCCAAGTCCCCTCATATAGGCCCAAGTTAGACCCAAAGTTCCCTGACATCAGCCCATGTGAGACCCTAAGTTGCCCAACATTGGACTTATATAGCCACAAAACAGGCTGAGAAAAAAACCCAACGGAAAAGTTTTGTGTTGGAGGTTTTTTTTGCGACCCCTCGAGTTCCAGGGAGCCCCACATAAACCAACATGGGCCCAAGTTGGAGCCCAAGTCGCCCAATGTGGGCCCAAGTTAGACCCAAAGTTGCCTGACATCAGCCCATGTGAGACCCTAAGTTGCCCAACATTGGACTTACATAGCCACAAAACAGGCTGAGAAAAAACCCCCAACGGAAAAGTTTTGTGTTGGAGGTTTTTTTTTGGCGACCCCTCGAGAATTAAACCAGGGGTGGTCCAGTACTAAAATAGAAGAGGTTTGGACAAGACCTGTTTGAAAACATGATGGAAAATGATGGAAAACCATGATGGGTGGCTAGAATTCTTTGAACTTCTCATGTTTCTCATTCTTTTCCCCTGCTGCCAGCCTAGGTGACACTCCAGTTGCAGGGCAACCGATTGGCAATGAGAGCAATGGTGTCCCACCTCGTGCCTTGTCATACTGAGTCAGCTGGTTTTGTATGGCTTGTTTGTAGAGAGGGTTCAGCAGTGCCAGAGGCCAGGGGTATCAAAACATAGCAAAAACCATTCAAAACATTTCAAAACCATGTCAAACATGGCACCAAAGAATTAAACCAGGGGTGGTCCAGTACTAAAATAGAAGAGGTTTGGACAAGACCTGTTTGAAAACATGATGGGAAATGGTGGAAACCATGATGGCTGGCTAAAATTCTTTGAACTTCTCATGTTTCTCATTCTTTTCCCCTGCTCCCAGCCTAGGTGACACTCCAGCTGCAGGGCAACCGATTGGCAATGAGAGCAATGGTGTCCCACCTCGTGCCTTGTCGTACTGAGTCAGCTGGTTTTGTAAGGCTTGTTTGTAGAGAGGGTTCAGCAGTGCCAGAGGCCAGGGGTATCAAAACATAGCAAAAACCATTCAAAACATTTCAAAACCATGTCAAGCATGGCACCAAAGAATTAAACCAGGGGTGGTCCAGTACTAAAATAGAAGAGGTTTGGACAAGACCTGTTTGAAAACATGATGGGGAATGATGGAAGCCATGATGGGTGGCTAAAATTCTTTGAACTTCTCATGTTTCTCATCGGTTGGTTTTGTATAGTTTTGTTGTGGGGAGGGTTCAGATGGGTTCAGCAGTGCCAGGGGCCAGGGGTATCAAAACATAGCAAAACCATTCAAAACCATGTCAAACATGGCACCAAAGCATTAAACCAGGGGTGGTCCAGTACTAAAATAGAAGAGGTTTGGACAAGACCTGTTTGAAAACATGATGGGAAATGGTGGAAACCATGATGGGTGGCTAAAATTCTTTGAACTTCTCATGTTTCTCATTCTTTTCCCCTGCTCCCAGCCTAGGTGACACTCCAGTTGCAGGGCAACCGATTGGCAATGAGAGCAATGGTGTCCCACCTCGTGCCTTGTCATACTGAGTCAGCTGGTTTTGTATGGCTTGTTTGTAGAGAGGGTTCAGCAGTGCCAGAGGCCAGGGGTATCAAAACATAGCAAAAACCATTCAAAACATTTCAAAACCATGTCAAACATGGCACCAAAGAATTAAACCAGGGGTGGTCCAGTACTAAAATAGAAGAGGTTTGGACAAGACCTGTTTGAAAACATGATGGGAAATGGTGGAAACCATGATGGCTGGCTAAAATTCTTTGAACTTCTCATGTTTCTCATTCTTTTCCCCTGCTCCCAGCCTAGGTGACACTCCAGTTGCAGGGCAACCGATTGGCAATGAGAGCAATGGTGTCCCACCTCGTGCCTTGTCATACTGAGTCAGCTGGTTTTGTAAGGCTTGTTTGTAGAGAGGGTTCAGCAGAGCCAGGGGCCAGGGGTATCAAAACATAGCAAAACCATTCAAAACCATGTCAAACATGGCACCAAAGAATTAAACCAGGGGTGGTCCAGTACTAAAATAGAAGAGGTTTGGACCAGACCTGTTTGAAAACATGATGGGAAATGATGGAAGCCATGATGGGTGGGTAAAAATTCTTTGAAATTCTCATGTTTTTTATCAGTTGTTTTTTTTTTTGGTGGGGAGGGTTCAGATGGGTTCAGCAGTGCCAGGGGCCAGGGGTATCAAAACATAGCAAAACCATTCAAAACCATGTCAAACATGGCACCAAAGAATTAAACCAGGGGTGGTCCAGTAGTGAATAGGACCTGTTTTGTTTGATGAACCAAGTTTGAAACCATGACGAACCAGTGTTTCATTCATATGATTTCATGCCGTTTTTAATCTTGGTCACGTTGGCCCCTCTTAGGCGGGACTCCAGATTCAGCAAAACCGATTGCGGGTGAGAGCGATGGTGCCCAGTCTGATCAAGCTTGCCTGCCTCCGTGCCTTCAACCCCTGCTTGACAAAGGGTGGCAGGGGCCAATACGATTTCCTCATGATGCTGCTCAGTTGAAGCCCGTGTTTCATTTGGGGGCTTTTCACTTATATAAGTAGTTGTATGTTTTCCATTGTTATCCACGTTTTCTATCGTTTTCTGGTGTCTGTCCTTCCTAGTCTGAGGGGCAACTTAGCATGTAACTAGGTTTGGGCCAGCTGCATTGGGGGCGTGGCGGATCAAAACTTCAGACCTTTGGATTTCTACGGCAAAGATTGGGATATGCAAAGGTACTATTGGAGTGTCTCAACAGCGGAGGCAGCTGCTGTGGTGAAGTTCCGGACGGAAAGGATTGGGGAGTTTGGGGGCGAGCCAGTGGAAACTACTCTCTCAGTCTTTCAGTCGCTTACCCAAGCAGAAGCACTGAACTACTTGCCAGAAGATGACATGGTGATGGAGGTTCTGTGGAATGACAAAGTTTGGCATCATGTGGTGCTGCACATCCTAGACAAGGGCGGTTTAGATGAGGCACGGGTGTCGCAAAAGCAATGAGCAATGGACAACAATAAGCAAGCAAAACGCATTAACAAAAAAACATTTAAAGTCCACTGAGAAGGAAACCGACTAAGATTACATAAGATTACATAAGATTACTAAGTAAGCATAACAGCATAATTATGCGTGATTCACTGACTCACTGACTGATTTTGTTCAAATTTCCAGGAAGAAGGCACAACAAGTCTTGAGCATTGGTCGGACTTTGAGCATGATTTTGTGGGTCAGTGGCGATGCAATCCTCTTCACTTTGGCATCCTGCTTTAGATTTTGTACTGGTTGTTTGGATGTGATTTGGGTTTGCGGAGGTTGCCGAAGCCTGTTTTGTTTTGGCTTGTGGGCCATTAGTTTTGGAACATCATGCACTTTTGAGATATACTTTTACTTTGTTCACATACACTGTTCTACTGAGGAAAGAAGGCCGACTTTGGCCAGATTGCTCAGCATGCAGTTAGCATTGGCGTCCTACGATGGGGGCAACGGTGGCCAGAGTCGTTTGCAATTCTTGATTCTCAAGATATCGAGGAACAAAAGAAAATCTATGAGTTCCAGGGCAAGCCACCCATTGTGGCGATCATTGTGTAGCTCGGACCTTTTAGTGTTTCAATCTAACTCACATGCTTTGACACGCTTTGTTTTGAATTTTGAAACATCAATCAAAACATCAAAATGAATCCGTTGCTTTCTTTGGAATATTATTTGTGACATTCGTCTTGGGGGTGGCAGGCATGATCCCCGACACCAAGCATTGCTATTATTGCGTGGGAGCGAGGCTGTAGTGTTCGATGGCATTGTCCCTTCACCTTTGGCAGAGGCTGCAAAAACAGCTTGGGAATCTGTCAAAGAGCACATCAATCCTGAGGTAGCCGAGCCCGTCTTTGTGAGAATCGGGAAGCAGTATGATCATTGGAGTTCTGGCCATCGGATCATCACAACCCTGAGGCATTTACTTGTGAACCACGGCGTCATCTCCAACGAGACTCCATTGTGCGATCTGAAAGTTCCAGACAATGTCACTTGCAATGATGCCTTGGCTGCAATCTCTCGCCAAAGCAAAACTGCCAAGTCCGAACCACCATCAGCGAAGTTTTCGCCGAGCTACTGGGCTGAGCTACAATGTTCCTTTTCCGCCTGCACTTTTGTCAATTCCATGATTAAACAAATCAAAGGTTGTTGTGCTTCGTATTTTTGATTTCATCATTTTTCCTATGTGTTCATTGTTTTTCTATGTTTTTTCATTGTTTTTCTAGTGGTGTGTTCTGATGTTTTCCATGGTGTTTTTAAATAGATGTGACTTTTTAAAATGTGTTTTTATGTTTTTTTAAAATATTTTTCTGTTTCTACATGTTTCTTATTCTTGATTGGTCTCAGTCTCGGTGAACTTAGGTGCACGCCTAAAGAGGGAGATGGTTGGGGCCAAGGAGCCGAGCAAGCCAAGTGCCGAAAGTGCTAGCTCACAACCTTCAGCAACAGCAAGACCCATTGCAACCCCCCAGAATGCAGCAGGAAACGGGTTCGTCCCAACATCCCCGCCACGGAAAAGGGAAGACCGACAGGCAAAACGAGAGATGAACAATGGAGAAGAGCCTACCACTCCCAAGCGACGAAGGCCAAACTTGCTGAACGATGATTTGAGTCCTCCTCGTGCAGAAGTCACTGAAGAGATGGCTCAGAGGATTGGCAACTTGCTCAGCGAGAGGCAACGAAAGAAGATGGAAAGACTCAAGGATCATCACGCAAAGCGTCTTCTGAGGGAATCTGGGTTGGATTTCAACTTGCATTTCCAAAAATCCCACTCTGGCAAGATGATCGACAGGGACCATTGGAAGAATTTCAAGATGGCCATCATCGGACAAGGTGAGGTTCCTTGCCGGATATGCCAGGATCTGATCATGCGCCATTGCATTGAAACAGCCAGATTTGATATGGAGACAGAAAAGGGCAGTCATCCACCGGCTCAACCACCTCTTTCAGATCAAGCCGCTCAAGCCGCTCAATCGGCGCAACCGGCCCCGCCGGCTCAGTCAGCTCAACCTGACCCTCCTGCCCAGGATGGAGCAGCAGGAAATCAGCCAGGAGATCAGCTTGCCTTAGTGTGTTGGGATCCCACAGCACAAAACAGGAGAAAGGTGGGCCGGCCAAGGAAAGCCGAAGCAGGCAATGACGACAGATTCAACCTCCGCTTTTTCTTGGCAGCTGAGAGGCCAGAAATGTACAGCTTCTTGACATCGGAGGAGGCCCGGGACACCCTACCCTTTGCTGTGAAGGATAGCAAGTTGCACTTGGACAAAGAAATGGCCAAGAACCCCGTGAGATGTCATGTCTGCCGGATAGTGATGCATTTCCAATGTCTGACAAATGACAGACAGTTGCGCTTTGGTTGCAGAGGCAAGAGCCAATTTGATTAGTCACAAATTAAATTGGGGGTGGTTCACAGCAGTCAGAGAGTCAGTTCTGTTAGGTCTTTCCAGCTACTGACATGATAATGCTTGATAATGAATGATAATATATGATAATGAGTTATAATCATTTTTACTGTACATATTGAATCATTAAATGCATTGTATTTGACAAGCATTGAAAAAGTAAACAGGGGGTCCTGGTTGAGATTCAAGGTCTTTTTTTTTTGCCAGAGGGTTGGGCACCTGTCTGATTTTAAAAACGACACGCTGTCCTTATCCCAGGCAGCGGCATGAGGCAAGTCGAGAGCATAAAAGTGCCTTGAATGAATGGACGGGAGAGAAGAGCAATGCTGCAGAGGATTTCAAGGTATGCCGTGGAGTGAACATCTCAGCTGGGGCTGGTCTAGCTACCGTACTTGGAGAGAAGCAGGACTTTGTGAGGGCATGGTGGCTTGCTGGGTGTGTGGGGGTGAAGGGGAGCTGCACGGATGAGATTTTGGTGGCGACTTGGATTTGAATGGATTTGATGTTTTGCTGCGGTACCTTTTTGATCCTGATCCTTTTTGCTTCCTTTAGTTTGCACTGTGCACAACCTCCTTCATGTAGGGAAATAGTTGAGGAAGAATGGTTTGACCAAAGCCGGACCGAGGAAAAAAGTGAAGACGGTGAGTCCATGGTGATCCGGCACAAGCTCTGTGAGAAATCAGCTGCGCCCCCAAAGAGATCATGTGCTGGCGCATGCGTGAGATGCTTCGCTTTGACCAACAAGAGCAAGCTGATGAAAGTCATTCTCGACTGGTGTGAGCGTTTGGACTATGTCCGTTTGGTTCATTTGTGCCTGGGTGGTGACTTTGCTGGGCAAGCCGACCTAGCACACGACATGGCTGGAAAGTATGAGATGATTTCGAGGGAATCCTTGGCAAAGATGAACTATGCAGACCTCCTGACCTTGACCCGGGCAAAGTTTCAACACATTGGCGGCCAAAAGTACATGAACGATGCCCTCAAGAAATTTCTCCAGGTGAACTTGGACTTTTTGTCAAAGGGTTTGCAGATTGGTGTTCCTCAAGAAGTACGGCCACATGTCCAGGCATACATTGAGGCAATTGTCTCCGGAAGTTTGGGTGCCACGGAAATCAGATTGACGAAGCTGATCAGCCAAGGAGCTTTGAAATATGATTCTATCTGCAGAGCTCTGGTGCCTGCGCTGTTGTCCAAGGCCGACAAGATCAGAAGAGGCCATTCTCAACGCACAGGGTCTTCGGAAATGGATCAGGCAGGGCTGGTGGAACTCAGCTTTGCTCTTGGTCAAAGCATGAACCTGGCACCAGTTCAGAAGGCCCTTGGCATGAGCAGACACTTGCAGAGGATTCAGTTCATGCACGATCATAAACATACATAAACAAGTATAGTATAATCAAAATTGCACATAATTCAACACTATTAAATACTACAAACAGAGATGCGCTATATAGCTGCGGTTATTTTAGATTATTTTGGTTCATTTTGTGAGATATGATATAAGTCGACAATGTTTAATACTGTTGCACTTGGCTTTCCAACGTCCAAAATCCAAAACTGTTCCACCTGATTGAGGACATGTGGCCCGACAGAGAGTCGACTATTTGATTCCTTGGCTCCCTCACTTCTACATTGCCCATGGTGATCAGTTGAAGCAGTCGGTGAAGGCCGCCTTGGCCCTCTGTGAAGTGGAGAACAGTGGCGAATACATGGTGATCCGAGACGAAGTTGCTTATGCAAAAAGTTGGCAGGTGGTTTCTGGACTCTTGGAGGGGCAGCCGGACGTTCCAGCAACTGTTGGTGGAGTGTACCCACACAGGGCTTTAATGCCATGGAACTCAGATGCAGAGCAGGAGGAATTGAAGAAGGAGGATCTAGCATCAGTTTGCGTGAGCACTGTGGTCAAAAGGCCAGGCAAATTGTTACTGTTAATGTGTTTTTTGATGTTTCTTGTAGTTTTTTTTAGTGTTTTTTGGGGTTACTCCTGCTTCTGTTATAGTTTGCTGATATGTGTTCATATAGTTTCTACATGTTTATACTATTTTCATTTGTTTGTTGTTGTGTTCTTGCGTTTTGTTTCCCTAAAGTCTGTTTGCTTGAGACTTTGCCCCTGTGTGAGGCTCGACAGGCGAGGCCATACTTTCCAAGTCCAGCTTCTGCCACGCTCCAGAACCACATCCAAAGAAGAGGAACTCAAGCTTTTTGGAGAAATTCTGCATGAGTGCGTGATGCAGAACACCAAGCCGCCGTCTGTGGTGAGCTACGACAACCATGGTAGCTTCGAGTTTGTCAACCGGTGTCTCCTGGGCTATCCACCAAAAGAAGCTGAGAATTTTGCATTCTGGAAAGAATGCATCCCAGATCCATTGATGCAAGTGATCCCCTTGTTTCGGGGAAGGCTGCTTCGGTATGGACCAGATGGTCCAGTGGTCTTCGGGTGCAACGATCCGAAGCATGTGCTGAAGGCAAGGCCAACTGCTGTGAGTTCTGAACTGTTTTCACATGTTTTGCTTTTTTTGGACATAATTTGGCATCGTTTACATTTTTGATAGATATTGAATGATATTGAAAGATGCTTAGTGATGTTGATAGCGATGTTTTGGTTTGGCCACACCGCCTTGGTTTTCAATCGGGCCCAAGCTGTGTGCAGGCCATTCCACGCAGCCTCCGCTTGCCTGATCGAATTTGCAAGATTTTTGGCTACCACTTCACATGGTCTCCGCTCCTGCGTGGTGGTATGCCAATGAGCACTGCAACGGGACATGATTCACACAGTGATCGGGAGGCTGCCCGTGCCTTTTGCCCAGCATACTTGCTCCGCTCCAACTCCTTCGATGACATCGGTGCACATTTGCTGCAGTTCATCGGCAATTTGATGTTCAGCTGTTGGGTTTCAAGCAAGGCTTATGAGTGCCACGAGTTGGCAAAAAATGCCTTATCCGGATACTACCTGCTGCTTGCCGCAGTCTACCAGGCATGGCAACAGCGGGGAAAGCTCTGGCCGCTTGAGTTTTTGCCCCGCACAACAGTGCGGAATTTGGCGAGCCTCAGCCAAATAGCAACAACATTTTATGCATTGTGATGTTCAGTAGGTGTTTTAGTAAATGAATGTACATGATAGTAAATGAATGTAAATGATAGTAAATGATAGTAAATGCATGTTTCACTAAAAGATATCACAAGATGATGATAGCCACCATGAAAATAAACAGGGGGTGGTTGAGTTGCACAGACCCATACATTTAGTTTCTATCCATATGTTTTGTTCTTTTTTGGGGTTTGAGGGGTGCCAACCTGATTCTTCCAAGTTTTCTGTTCCTGACATCACCCCCCCCACCACCAGGAAATTAAACATGGGGTGTTGGAGTACTGACTCACCAAATGTTCCTAGCTCATGTATTGATGTGCAGGTCGATGCTGACTCACTGCATTTTGCGGCTGGTTGGATGGAATCCTTCCTATGTGTTCGAGCCAAGCTGCCAAATGGAGGCTTCTCGCAATGAAAAGAGGTGAACCATACGCTTTCAATATCTTTAAACTGTTTTGAAAAAATGCTGATTTTCTATGATCATCGATTATCATTGATTTTCTGATATTTTCTGTATTTGGTAACAATTTTTAATGTTTAACATAGTTTATATATACATATGTAATCAATTGTAATCATATGATATCATATGTATATACAATCAATGATATACATAATATTGCATAATGCATCACAATGCATCATAATGCATCATAGCGCATCAAAGAATCAAAGGTTTGTTAACCGCCAAGGACTCCATTGAATTCTATTTTGGTGCTGTCAAGACCCTGCGTCGTGGCCACAGCAGCGGCAGTTGCACCATCGGGAACTCAATAGCTGCATCCCAGATGCTCCATCTACGCCAAAGCCATGGCATGAAACAGGCCTGACCAAGATGTACGCAGCTTTTAGTTCATGGGTGTGTGCAGAGTGGATATCAGTGGTTTATTTTTCTGATTGATATTTCATGATATTTCAAAGTGGGGGCTGCTGAGAGGTTGTATTCACATCTTGTTTTGAAGTCGCCGGTGTGTGAGAACTGAAAGACATTCCGTTTAATTTCATGGGGTGGTGAATGTATTGAGCCATCAATGCAAGTAGCTTGACCACTCTGTGCTTTCTGATATACATTCCTTATCATTCCCTGTTCTGTCATGGCAGGCCTCTTCCGAACGAATCATTCGACTCCTCTCAGTGGACGTGGGCAAGATGGCAAGACAGGCGCTCAAGGAAGTGTGTGTCTTTGTTGCGGCATGCAATGTTGGGGTCGATCCAAAACAGTTGGCAGAAGAGTTATCCAAGTGGTTCAGGGAGCATGGCGGTGCAGAACTTCGGCCCGACAGTGGAACTTGCACAGAGGAAGAAACAGAAGAACATGGGGAAAGCGATGTAGAAGGTGAAGATGAAGGGAGCGATCTTGAATCAGAGCCAGAAGAAGCTGAAGAGCCAAGCCAGGCCGAGCTTCACGAGAAGAAACTTGGCGAGGCTTTGGAGTCAGTGGAGGTGCAGGTAGCTCTGGAAACAGAACTTGCGCAGATGCTGAGCAGCGAAGCAAAGCCAGAGATGCCACAGAGCGGCCAAGATGAGCTTCCAAAAAGCGATGTGGAGAACCAGACCGATGAGGAAACGGAGCCCCAATCCCCGCAAAGAAAGGCAGCTCGAGCAGATGATTGCGGTCACGTCGTGAGCCTTGCTGATGTGTTGAAAGTGGCAGACTTGGCGAACTTCCACCCGCCAAAGGATGATACTGATGAACAAGCTATTGCACGGACAAGGGCATTCATCCCAGGCATGCTTTCATTCAGTGTCTTCATGCGATGTGGTGAAGGCTTGCTCTCGCGGGCTGCAGTCTTAGGAAGGACAAAGGCCCGCATCAGCCCATTTCATCAAGCAGAACATGCATTGGCAATGGCCCGGTCAGCCCACATGTGCGACGCAGGACTCTTGGGTCATTTTGATCTTTCCACAAGTAAACAACATTAAAGTATATAATTTAAAATATTAAACAGGGGTCTGCTTAGTTCTTCAACACCCTTGGTTTAAAAAGATGTTCCAACCATAATTCAATGTTACTTATTTTCCCAAAATTAAACAGGGGTCTGCTTAGTTCTTCAACACCCCTGGTTTAAAAAGATGTTCCAATCATAATTCAATGTTACTTATTTTCCCAAAATTAAACAGGGGTCTGCTGAGTTCTTCATTACCCTTGGTTTAAAATATGTTCAAATGCTTACCTGCTTGCTTTCTGAGGTATCTGGTGAAATTCCATGAAATTCCAGGTGGATTAGCCCCCAAAATTGAACAGGAGAGCTTCAGACACCTGTGGCTGATTTGGTAGATCCTCAATGTGGGTAGGGCAAGCTGCGTTTTTGTTTTTTGTTTTTTGTGGGGGGGTCATGAACTTGTGGAATGCAGGACGCCAAACCCGGCACCAACTTTGGTGCGATTTTGCAAGCCAGTCCTTGCAAACAGCAGGAGTGGAAGCGTCAGAAGGGAAATGCGTCACAAAGATTGGTCCACCTACGAAGGTTGACAATGGACATGTGGTTTATCAGCTTCTTGTGGTGAAGCCGGCAGCTGCAGCGAGTGCGGGCAGTGTCTGCTTGAGGTTTTGCGTTCCGACATCTGTATGGCGAGTTGCTAGGAGAAAGGTCAAGTCAGGAAAACGACTGATGACTGAGGGACAGTTGCCCATCGAGTACATTTCCCGACTTCAAGTCATGCTTCTGATGCCCCGGCAGAACCCCAACAACAAATCATCTTTGGAACTGGACGGATCGCAGCTTGGAACGATGTTTTTTTTCATTATTTTTTAAATTTTGTAATTGGTTTTCATGTTTTTCATGTTTATTACATACTTCTGTTCTCAATGTTTGCTATCTTCCATGTTTTTGCAGTTGGGAGTTTCCCTGTTTTCTCTGCTGTGTTTTTGAATATGTTTGCTTCTGTTTTTTTCATTGTTTTTTCGCTGGTATGCTTTGATGGCTAAGGGCCCTATCTCCTATGGCGACGCTTGATCCACTCGACGGAAGTGTCATCTACGAAGTTCCAGCGGCATGCTTCCAGGTCATTGATGGGCCCCACAGTGCAACTCAGTTTCAAAGCCACTAGACATGTTTGACAATGCATCCATCCAGCATGGGTCTTTAAATTCATTTAAATTCTTTTATATTTGTAAATATGTTTTAATATGTTGCAGTTAATTTTCATTAATTTCTATATGCATTCACCTCGTTATCGGATCCAAGCACGACAATGGCATTTCATGACATTTCATGACATTTCTATACATCTCTTTTATTTTTATATAATTTCTTTACGTACGCTATGACTCAACTGTTAGAAGCAACCATCCCCCAGAATGTTTGTGGTGCTCGAAATTTGTTTGAGAATGCTTGGCAAGGTATGCTTCAAAGTTTCGAAGGATGCCCTCAAAGCCTTCCAGAAGGTTGCCAAAAGCATCGTGCCATTGCAGAACGAAAAGGAGAAGAAGATCCCAAACCAGAAGATCTACATGACAGAGTTCGATTTCGTCAATACCTCTCATGGTCGAAAATGCCAAGTTCGATTTCTTGAGCTCATGAAGAAAGACTACGAGGCCCATCACCACAAGATTAGCGGAAAAAATGGAATCACAAAGCTTCCGAAAGGATATCAGTGCAAGTGGGAGGAGCTTTGTCACAGACTTCCGGGTTACTTCAGCAAGAGGTATTCCAAAGGATCAGCGACATGGAAAGCCTTGTCCGCCGAAGAGAAATCCCTTGGTTTTGGGGCACTGGTGCTCAAAGAATTTCAGAGCATCGCCCCCACTCCTGAAAATGGAGACAAATTTATGAAGTGGCTGTTGGATGTGCATATGACTGCTCCAGCAATTGTTGCTTTTGATCCAGAGCCAAAGACAGAGCCCTAAGGGCCCTGGCTGTTTTAGCATTTGTGCTTTGCAAGTTAACCAAATTGGTTCAAAATTAAAGGGTTCAAAGCGCTAGCGCACCAGACCGCAAGCGCAGTAGGCAAAACAATTCAAGACATGACAAAAGACACTGTAGGGGAACATGCATAAAAATGCGAGAGGTCAAAAAATGAAAGCTGAGGTCTGCAGTCACTGAACCACTGCCTGTTTATTTTCTACATGTTTGCTCGTTTTTGCTTTTTATTGCCAAGGAAGGGAAGCTTTAATTGAACCACCTCTGCTTCAGTCTATGGTTTAATTTCTGGCTTTTTGTGCTTTAGGTGGACTGGAACTTACCTCTTCATTGGTTTAATTTTTACTAAACATATTAAATGAGGTCCTTTCAGTTAGAGGAGTACTAAACTGGGCATGACCTGGTTTAATTTCAAAAATTAAACCAGGGTGGGGACTCCCCCCCCTCCATTAAGGCAAGGGATATGGAAACACCATGGCCCTGAAGGACGAATGGAGTCCAAAATAGGCGTTTCCCGGGGCCGGAACGTCCCTTCTGAAATCTCCTAGAAAAAGCTTGCTATACGTTTCTCGATGCTGGCTACTGGGAGCTGCTGCTGCTGCTGCTGCTGCTGCTGGTGCAGCTGACCCTTCAAAAAGGCGGCTTCCGGCAAGGAAACCCCATGCTACTGAAGGGCGACAGCGACTGCTGCTGCTGCTGCGCCCACAAAGACACGGCCCTCCCGGACGGGGAAACACCATGGCCCTGAAGGACGAACGGAGTCCAAAATATGCGTTTCCCGAGGCCGGAACGTCCCTTCTAAAATCTCCTAGGCAACAGAACCTGTCGAAAAATGCTATTCTTCTAGGATTTCAGACGACACGTTAGGCAGTTTTTTGGCGTGGTTTTGGAACTAGCTCGTCCTTCAAAGTTGGGGCCGGCGGATATAGAATAGAAAAAATTGCTACCAATGCTGTGTCAGAAAATCCTTTTCCCTTTCGCGCTCCCCCTTGCGCAGCCGGGGTCGGCGGATTTTGATTAATTCTGAAAGGCTCCAGACCCAAACTCTGGTTGAGCTCGCCGAGGAACTGCTGACAGGAGGGTAAAGAGGTTTGGTGGGTGGTGTGTGTGTGTGCATATGTAGGGTTCTTACTATTTCTTAAGTCTATAAGTCTATATCAAAAAATATGTTTATCAACTCATATAAAATATCTATCAAATAAATGTAATAAATATAAATATATATATATCTGTCTAAAAAGGAGGAGAAGGCCTGAGGTGCGAAGCACTGAACAATATTTATATCAATCTTGTTTGATTAATTGTGACCTTGGTGATCAACCGACCCCCATTGGGGGTGTGCGTCAGCACTTTTTGTAACTGACATCCTGACAACAGGGAGGTGCATAAAGAAAAATGATATTAACAATTGCTGAGCGTGTTCTCATAAAACAGGGTACGAGAAAATCTTGGGAGTGTTCCCACATAAATTGGTTGGATATGAGAAAATCTAAATGAGACTATTTATACAACAATGGGGGTATAATAGGGTTCGTTGTGATTAAATGGTGGTTTTGCTTACTGTACCGCCAATTTACATGTATTTACCCAAGACATCATGGATTATGCCCGTTAAATATTTCTGTCCGAGGTCTTCCCATCAAAACGATCAGGTTTCCGGTGATTTTTTGTGTTCCAAAATTTGAAACATAATATTAAAAAACAAATGTCCCCTTCTGATAAATATGTATTGATAGATAAAAATATATAGATGTTAATTTTCTAATATTGAAATTTGAAAAGCTATATATTATATCTGAAAATATTGAATACAATATAATGTATTTTGAAAGAAATGAAATGTCAAAATACGTTTCTAATATGTAAAATATAAAAAACGTAACGTTGAATATGTGTTTAAATTTTGAATTTTCATGTTGATTATGGATTTATGAAAAATATTGTAATTGTAACATGTTTTTAAACTGAATGTAACATGTTCATTCTTGAGGCAAACTAATATTGTCTAATAAAAACAAACAAGAAACAATATAATTCCAATAATTCAAAAGCAAAACATTTCAGGGCACACTGTTTGATTGCTCTGTCAATTACCTGCGGCATGTAGAAATTGCTTGCCTCTAGATGCTCAAGTTCGGGTCACAAACATAACTCAAGTTAACTCAAGTTAACTCAAGTTAACTCAAGTTAACTCAAGTAGACTCAAGTTATTTTTTATATCTAGTTACAACTGCTCTAAGTGGGCTATGGCTGTTACCTAACTTTACCTAACAGGGGGGTCACGTAGTAGAAAAGCTCTTGGAAAGCGCCCAGAATGCCGCAAAAGCCTCCGGCGAGGGCGCAGCGAAGCAGTTGACCAAAATTGCCTGGAATGCGATAGTATGTGAAACTACCGACGTCTCAGGTGGGAACTCCATCTTCCCCATATTCCAGAATACGTGATTCCAAGCCATTTTAGCCGAAAAAAAAACGAAAAAAAAAGAGTATCATTCACCGAGTAGGAGGATTTTATGGAGTGCGCAGATTTGCCGAGCGCGATGATTTGACAGTATGTGTACCTCCCCAGCGACATGCCCAGGAGTTCCTATTCTCTTAATTAAGATTAAGCAAGGTTAGCCTTAAATTATTTAAGCAAGGTTAGCTTACAGTAATTAAGAATAAGCAAGCTTGCTTAAATTAAGCAAGGTTAATGTTGGGTCGTTATTTTTGGTTCAAGATATCTGTTAATGTATTGGGTGCTTTTTGCTTTCAGGTTCGTACTTGTCTTCATGACTTGTTTCCCTAAGACTCAAACATCAAACAACATTTTTTTTTATACAAAGGTATGATTCTCCTTCGAAGAGAGTGCCTTAAAAAAAAACTTATTGATGGAACATGGTTACCTTTTTTTCCTCTTTATATTTTTCTGTTACATCAAGTTCACCTTGGTTTCTTTCTAAGTATACATTTTCTTTTTGGAAAAATATTTCCAGAAAAATAAAACCCAAAAAATAAAATCAAAAATAAGCAAACAAAGTCAAGATTGAAAAATCAAAATTTTGAAAAACTATGTTTTAAAAAAAATAAAGTTTAACAAATTTTGAAACTTTGAAAATTTAAATTTCCAAACTTTTGTGTTTTTTTTATTTTTTGGTATTTTTAACGATTCTTATATTTTAATATATATATATAGAATTTTTAAACACTTAAAATTCTAGAGGCAACATTCCCATATTCAGAAAATATTCGCATACCATGTTTTCATCGTACTCCAGACCTGGGTTTTGGTATGTTACCTTGGTAGGCACTTCAGCTCAATCTGGAGGGAACAGTTGGGCCATGGCGAATCCACTGAATGCCCCTCCACAGCTTTCTATCCCCTATGTCGTTCCAAAGCAGCTGTGGACGTTGGATGTATTGAAGGCTGCTTTGATAAGGGAGTTTCCTCATTTGTCTACCGAAGAAGGACAGGGTTGTCAAAGGTAACGTTTTTAAAGGTTGGCTGAGTAAAAAATTAGCAAGTTTCTTCCCGGGGCCTCACCCAATGTGAACTCAGAAAAATAAAAACCACTGGTGTGCCCCTGGAAGTTTGGGCTGGCTTTGGGATTGGAATTCTGATTCTGGCCCCGAAATTTCAGTATGTGCTCTCTATACCAGCCACGCATACTCGGAATTCTTCGCGTTCCACAAATACGCGTTTTCCTGGTCTTTTGTTCCGGGGTCGGCGGCAGGGGCGTTTTTTGGTTTTGTTTAGCCAATGCAGAAAAACCAAACAGAAATTATATGGCACATCTGTAACTTAGAATGTGGTTTTGGAAACCGCCGCCCCACCGGAGAAGCCAAAACTCACGTTTTGGGCACCTTCTACTTTTGAAATGATCTTCCCACCACGCTATGTGCGAACGGTTTGACACTTAGAATGATGCAAAAACATCATCAAAAAATTCTGCACCGGTCAATTTTTTTAATTTACTGATATTTAGAAGGTTTTAAACACTTAGAATGTGGTTTCTTCATGTTTCTCCGGGAACAATAGGGGAAAAACAGGGAAATAATAGGGAACAATAGGGGAAAAATAGGGACATAATAGGGAACAATAGGGGAAAAATAGGGAACAACTAGGGAAATAATAGGACAATAATAGGGAAATAATCTGGTTATATGCTTGTAATGCTGAAAGTGGTGACCCTTCACAGGTTTTGCCATCTTTCTGGTAAACCACCATACCATACCATACCCTTATCCCAGGATCAATAGTTACTATAAGTTTCCCCGTGTATTTCCCTAGTTGTTCCCTATTATATCTTGCAAAGACAATTGGAAGTTGGAACCACTTTTTTGGGGCCAAACATGTTGCTATTCAATTTGTGTGTTTTTGCAGGCTTCATACATTTAGCATGACCGTCGAAAGGGTAGCAAGTGGATGAACAAAAAAGTGAGAATAATCTGGAAGGGTCATCATTTTTGGGTTTCGATAGTCGTTTTTTTGGGAAAATGTCATCAAAAAACAGTGAAATCTAGAATTTTGGTGGGAAATCAAATTATGTGTATTTTTCAAGGTTTCAAACATTTAGCATGACAGTCGAAACAGAGTCATTCTAAGTGTCTAAGTTTATCGTTTTGGAAACCTGGGAGGCATATGGGACAATAATAGGGTAAAATAAGGCAATTATATATAGGGAAATAATAGGGCAAAAATAGGGAACTAAGAGGGAAATAATAGGTAAATAATAGAAACAATAGGGAACAATAGGGAAATAATAGGACAATAATAGGGAAATAATCTGGTTATATGCTTGTAATGCTGAAAGTGGTGACCCTTCACAGGTTTTGCCATCTTTCTGGTAAACCACCATACCATACCATACCCTTATCCCAGGATCAATAGTTACTATAAGTTTCCCCGTGTATTTCCCTAGTTGTTCCCTATTATATCTTGCAAAGACAATTGGAAGTTGGAACCACTTTTTTGGGGCCAAACATGTTGCTATTCAATTTGTGTGTTTTT